GGGGGCCACGGACCACCGAGATGACTCTCGGGTGCCATGCCGCAGCCAGTGCCACGAAGGGCCAAAGGGGCGGCGTGAGCTTCCGAAGCCACACGGGGGTGGACGCAAAAGGGGGTAATTAGTATTAGGTCGGGCATGTCCCCCTACAGGGGCACATGCCCGACCTAGTGGGCACAAATAGTCAAAAAATCGACCCCAGACTATTGCTTGACTATTTCTTAACATTCCTCCTGTAGAGGGAAAGGCCCGACTTGAAATTGGTAAAGGAGGGCTATATGGAATCAGCTGCATGCGGGTGGCTTTCCCGACGCCTGAAACGTGTCGAAAGCTGCGCCTGGCGGCTGCGCCGCAACCGGGCGCACGCAGCAGATTTCGCAACCGCCCCCTCCCGCCCCCCCACACCCTCGTCCACCCTGAGGCGACCACGAGGGGCCGCCACTGCAAGAGCCACCGAATCTACTTTGGACTTGGCAGCACACCCCACACGCGAGGCACGCGGGAAAGCAAGGGAGTGACGGCAACAGTCACCAAACCCAGTTTTGAAGGACACCCCTGCAGCGAAGCCCGCGACCACCATCCCCGAGCGCAGGTACAAAAGCAACTTACACGCACGGGCTGCTCAGGTCACGAGAGCATGCGCCAGACAACAAGAACCTGCAAGAGTGGGGCGTGGGGTCACGGGCTGCTGCGAATTAGTCTTGTGGTGGGACCAGCCCCTGGCCCGGCCGCCCGGCGCTGGAAATCCTCATCCGCCACCATGCCTCTGGGCACGGGGTGGGCGTGTCCTCAGGTCCTTTGGCCAATCCCCTGAGCCGCAGTCCTCAGTCCTGAAGAGATTTGAAGGGGACCAGATCCAAAGTTCACGAATCTCCCAGGGCTTGGCGCGGCTCCCTTGGGCCTTGGCGCATCTTGCCGCGAAAAAATTCTCGGGCCCAAGAGCGCCCCGAGACGGGCCAGGAGAGCCCCAAGAGGCTCCCAAGACGGGCCCAGAGGCACAGGGGCGGATAGGCCGAAGGCCACTAGATATAACGCTCTCTTCGGATTGCCAGAGACCTGGAGGGCGATGGACTCTCCAGGGGCAGCATCACGGTGGGCGCCAACTCCTGCTCGCCGGGCGCGCTCGAGCCGTTGGAGGATCTGCCGCCAGGCCACCAGGCCTCCCCAGACGTGGGCGCGGTCCCTGGAGAAGGCCCCGGCGCCCACTCTCGCGAGGAGCTCCTGCTCGGCCACCAGCCAGCCTCCGAAGCCTGCACGCCGCCCTCGGACGGCTCCGACGTGGGCTCCGAGGGCTGCAAAGAGTCTGAGGGTGCCTCCGACTTGGACAACCTCGAACGCACAAAAGACAGCATCGGACAAAGCAAAGACATCCTGCAAGGGTGGTTCCGGGCCAAGTGCTGCTGTAAGCCTTGTGGCGGGACCAGCCCCTGGTCCGGCCGCCCCGTGCTGGAAGTCCGCAAACAATGCTCTCTTCGGTTCGCCAGAGACCTGGAGGGCGATGGACTCTCCCGGGGCAGCATCACGGTGGGCGCCAACTCCTGCTCGCCGGGCGCGCTCGAGCCGCTGGAGGACCTGCCGCCGGGCCACCAGGCCTCCCCAGACGTGGGCGCGGTCCCTGGAGAGGGCCCCGGCGCCCACTCTCGCGAGGAGCTCCTGCTCGGCCACCAGCCAGCCTCCGAAGCCTGCACGCCGCCCTCGGACGGCTCCGACGTAGGCTCCGAGGGCTGCAAAGAGTCTGAGGGTGCCTCCGACTTGGACAACCTCGAGCGCACAAAAGACAGCATCGGACAAAGCAAAGACATCCTGCAAGGGTGGCTCGGGGCCAAGGGCTGCTGTAAGCCTTGTGGCGGGACCAGCCCCTGGTCCGGCCGCCCCGTGCTGGAAGTCCGCAAACAATGCTCTCTTCGGTTCGCCAGAGACCTGGAGGGCGATGGACTCTCCCGGGGCAGCATCACGGTGGGCGCCAACTCCTGCTCGCCGGGCGCGCTCGAGCCGCTGGAGGACCTGCCGCCGGGCCACCAGGCCTCCCCAGACGTGGGCGCGGTCCCTGGAGAGGGCCCCGGCGCCCACTCTCGCGAGGAGCTCCTGCTCGGCCACCAGCCAGCCTCCGACGCCTGCACGCCGCCCTCGGACGGCTCAGGCGGCGCCGGCGGCTCCAGCGGCCGGGGCGCTCGCAGGGTCGCAGCGGCCAGGGGGTCGGGCCCCAGCGCCGCCTGGAGCACGGACTGCTCGGTGAGGGTGTCGCCCTGCCCTGGAGACATCCTTGAAGGGGCCCCAGGACACACAAATAAGTACACACAAGTACAAAGATTCCCCATATGTTCCCATATGTTCTGGGTTTTTGCCTTCCCCCCCCACTTCCCACATTTTCCAATATGCTCTGGGGAAGCGACGATGACATGTGTCTGTGTGTTTCTCTCCCTCCTGAATCCTGCAGATCAGCAGCGACATCTCGGCGCTGGCGCTCGAGGAGTCCCGCGACAGCGGCGCGGGGGCGGAGGCGCCAGCGGAGGGAGGCGGCGCCCGCAGGGTGGTGCCCGCGGTGGCGGCGGCGGGGGCCTCCGTCAGCGAGAAGCTCAGGCTGCCCAGCTCGGAGGCGGGCCCTGGGGGGTCGAAGCAGCAACAGAACTGCCTACTCCAGATTACATGATAAAAGGGAGGGGGTCCCAACCCTCCCAGACGAGAAGTTTTAGAGCCCCCCGGACCATCCATGAAAGGGCGGCCCTTTGCCCAGACCCCCCCCGAACCCTCCAAGACAGCTCAAATCAGACCCCCCCCAAATGTGACCCCCCCGACTTTGTGATGGAATCCGGAGTACCCCTTCAGCCTCTCCTACTTCGACGACCACAAAACAGCACAAACATGGACTATCCAAGGGCTCCCAGCTTCGCGCTTCGCGCTGCGCGAAGCGCGAAGTGCGAATAACTTCGCGCTCTCGCGCCGCCTCCCAGAGGAGAAGAGGAGGAAGAGGAGGAATCGGAGCCGAACCGCGAAGCGCGAAGCGCGAATAACTTCGCGCCCTCGAGGGCGCCCTTGACTATCCGAGGTCCGCGCGGACTTCTCGCATCGGCGCGGGACGCCCGCCTCCACGGCGCGCAGAGCGCGCCAGGGGCGGCGCCGGAGGCGCCGCGAGGGGAGGCCCAGAGCCGATCCAAGGAATCCGCGCAGAGCGCCGAAGCTTGTTATCTTTATGGTCGGGAGCTTCTAGATAGCATGTCGCGGCGGCGGCCCCAGCGACACTCGATGCCCTGCGGGTGGACAGAGCGTCGCTCCGCTCCCCGCGGCGGGAGGCTGGGAAGAGCTCGGGACGTTGACGCGCGGGGACTGGGACGTGGATGGCGAGCCGCGCCGAGGCACGGTGGGCCAGAACTGGCGGAGCGACACGCTGTCCAAAAGCTCCACGGTTGTCCGTCTTCGTCTCCACTCGTGATGAGCAATGAAAGTAGCCACAACCCTTCGGGAGGAACCCAAGTGCGGAGGGCCAGAAAGAACACTTGGGATAAGGGGCCGTGTCTGCAGACGTGCCAGGCCAAACCACCCAAAATTATTATTCCTGCTGCGAAGGCGGGGACCTAAGTGAGGCCACGTCTGCATCTAGGGGAACGAACGACGACATAAACATAAAAACTCGGAGGTCCGCGCGGATTTCTCGGATCGGCCCTGGACCCCCCTCCCTGGCACGCGGAGAGCGCCAGGGGCGGCGCCGGAGGCGCCGCCAGGGGGCTTCGGCGCGGATCCAAGAAATCCGCACGGACCTCCGAGCTTTTATGTTTACGCCAGTGTTCGTTTCCCTATTTGGGTATCGTTTCACCGATCCCCATCCCCACCAGCGTGGGCTGGGCCCCACTGGCCGAGTTACCCCCCTAGACGGAAACATCGGCCGTATCCTTCGGGCTTCGAAGGCGGTATCCCCCACTGGGGGTGTCATTTGGCGGAGGTCTCGCAGGGGATTGAAGGGGCCCTGGGACACACAAATGAATACACACAATCAACAAGACTCCCCATATTTCCCCATATGTTCTGGTCGTTCGTCTTCCTCCTCCCTTCCCCTATTTTCCCATATCTTTTCTGGGGAAGCGACGATTCATTGTGTCTGTGTGTGTTGTTGTTCCCCCCTGAGGGCTGAGCACGGGGATGGGGATCGGTCAAACGAGACCGACTACAGTGGAGGCCAATCCACAAGAAACCTTCCCCAAGAAACCCAACCCTGAGACCCCAGGACCTCCACTGATGTTTGATCTGGGAACGTCACGCTTCCCATTGCAAACCCGTCCAAACCCAAGAAACCCAGGGCACCTTGGAGGCAAGCAGGGTAGTTCTTGGCGTGTGTCCCCACTGCACTACCGTGGCATCAGGGCTCAACGGGGTGCTTGCGTGCTCGCTGCGCTCCCCCTCCGCCGCCGGGGCCCGACCAAACGCCACCCGCCCCGCGGCGCCCCCGCGCCCTGCCTGCCACGCCAGCCGCGGGCGCCGCGGCCCCCGGCGGCGCGGCGGCGGCTCCCGCGGGGGCCCCGCGGCCGCCGCCGGCGGCCGCCCCCGCGGCCCTGGCGAGAGCAGCCGGCATCGCAGCGCCAAATTGAAGGGGCCCAGGACACACAAATAAATACATTCCCCATGTTTTCCTATATTTCCTGAGTTTTTGTCTCCCCCCCACTTCCCATATTTTCCCATATTCTCTGGGAAATGGACGATTAATTGTGTCTGTGTGTTTCTTTCCCTCCTGACAAATGGAATGAGGTCGGGCGTGTCCCCCTGCAGGCGCATCTGGGACGGAACAACAATTGCTCCAGAAGCACTCCACATAAATGCCAAAAAAAAATGCTCGGAAGGTCGTCCCCAGACTATGTTGTTATACCGTTTCCGAATAGTCCTCCTGTAGAGGGACAGACATGCCCGACTTGACCCTGGCCAGGTCAGCCAGCATCGCATCGGCAAATGGGATCGAGCCGGCACGTGCATCGGATCGGGCTGCGACGGCTCGGAATCGGCATCGGATCCGACCGGCGGCGCCAGGATGCACACAAGCGCCACGCGAACATCGGGCCGCAGCGGATCAAAGGAAGATCGGGATCGAATCGGATCGGGCTGGCAGGCCCTGCCTGGCCGACCCGGCAGCGGCACCAGCTGCGGTCGCCGCGCCCCCGAGAACGGCGGCCGCGACGGGGCCGCCCTCGTCGCTCACCGAGGCTGCCACGGCTGGCGCGACGGCGGCAGCCAAGGCCGGCTGCGCGTCTGCGCCTGCTGGCGGCGCGGCGTCGTCGGCGGCAGACTTCATGGCGGTGACACGGCCGCCCTCGTCGCTCACCGAGGCTGCCACGGCTGGCGCGACGGCGGCAGCCAAGGCCGGCTGCGCGTCTGCGCCTGCTGGCGGCGCGGCGTCGTCGGCGGCAGACTCCATGGCGGTGACACGGCCGCCCTCGTCGCTCACCGAGGCTGCCACGGCTGCCACGGCTGGCGCGACGGCGGCAGCCAAGGCCGGCTGCGCGTCTGCGCCTGCTGGCGGCGCGGCGTCGTCGGCGGCAGACTTCATGGCGGTGACACGGCCGCCCTCGTCGCTCACCGAGGCTGCCACGGCTGGCGCGACGGCGGCAGCCAAGGCCGGCTGCGCGTCTGCGCCTGCTGGCGGCGCGGCGTCGTCGGCGGCAGACTTCCATGGCGGTGACACGGCCGCCCTCGTCGCTCACCGAGGCTGCCACGGCTGGCGCGACGGCGGCAGCCGCGGCCAGCTGCGCGTCTGCGCCTGCCGGCGGCACGGCGCCGTCGGCGCCGCTGGCGGCAGCTTCCGCGGGGGCGGCACGGCCGCCTGCGGAGGCCGCCCCCGCAGCACCCACCAACCCTGCGAAAGCGGCTGCCGCCGGCGCTCCGTCGCTGGGCGTGGCGGCGGCCGCTGGCGCGGCACCAGCGGCGAGCGCAGCCGACGGGGTCCCCGCTGGTCCTGGCAGCGCGGCGGCGTCGACGGCAGATCCGACGGCGGCCGCGCGGCTTTCGGCTGCAGCTGGCCCCGCGGCCCCTGCCGACGCAGCCGCGGCACGGCCTGCGGCGGCCGTGTCCCCGCGGGCGCAAGGCACGGCGGAGCCGCCCTCCTCGCGCGCCGCGGCCGCGGCCGCTGGCGCGGCCCCGGCGAGCGCGCCGAGTGGGGCACGCAACGACGCCCCGCGAGTGCCCTCGGCCTGGCCCGCGTGCACGCCGTCTGGTCGCGCGGCCGCGGGCATGCCCTGGGCCGGGCCCGCCTGCACACCGTCGGGTGGAGCGGCCGCCGTCGAGTGCGTCGCCTGGGCCTTCAGGGCCAGGTCGAGCAGGAAAGCCTCCTCCGGCGACGGCAGGTGGTGGAGCCAGGCGTGCAGCGCGGCGCCGAGGAGGTCCTCCGCGTGCTGCTCGAGCTCTCCGCGGGCCGCGGCCTCGCCCCCCCGGGCGCTCGGCCCTCCCTGGCCCCTGGGACAGCCCAGCAGTCCCTGGCCATGCAAGCGTGGCTCGCTACATCACCACCACAACCACAGCAACGGCCACAACGTGAGAAACCATGCCACTGGCGACAGCGAAACTGGAAAGTCGATAGGCAACCCTATCGCAGGACCGTCATCGCCCCTTCCTCCGAGGTGAGACGGCGACGCTAGCGCGGCATTGTTCGGACTGCGTTCCAACCAACCCTGGCGGCGCGCAAAAGGGGGTGGCGCGCGGGTGGGGGGTCTTCTTAGAAGGCGGTGGGATGAGGGGGGCGGCTCAGAGGGCCGCTGGTTTCTTAGAAGCCTTTTTTCGGAAGCATGCAGGCGCCTCTAAGACCCAGGGGTCGGTCAAAGACATCCGCGCACAGCTCCGAAAGTGTATGCGGTGTTTGTGTGTGTGTGTCTGTGTGCTGTGTCTCTACGTCTGTGTGTCTATGTGTCTGTGTGTCTGTGTGTCGATGTGTCTGTGTGTCTGTGTGTCTGTGTGTCTGTGTCTGTGTGTCTGTGTGTCTGTGTGTGTGTTTGTCTTTGTGTGTGTGTTTTGTGTACGTGTGTGTGTGCGCGTGTGTGTATGTATGTGTGATTGTGTGTGTGCTTGTGTGTTGTGTGTGTCTGTGTGTCTGTGTGTCTGTGTGTCGGTGTGTGTCTGTGCGTATGTTTGCCTGTGCGTCTGTGTGTCTATATGTCTGTCTGTCTGTGTCTGTCTGTCTGTGTGTCTGCGTGTCTACGTGTCTACGTGTCTGTGTGTCTGTGTGTCTGTGTGTTTGTGTGTCTGTGTGTCTGCGTGTCTGTGTGCCTGTGTGCCAGTGTGGCTGTGTGGTGGCTGTGTGGCTGTGTGTCGGTGTGCTTGTGAACGCAAGAGATCGCACTTGGCACTTCCATCTGCCGTCCGCTCCTGAGGATCCTCTGCGCCGCCGACTTAAAAGTGTCTGTGTGTCTGTGTGTCCGTGTATTGAGAGTGCCTGTGTGTCAATGTGTATGTGTGTCTGTGTCTGTGCGTCTGTGTGTCTCTGTCTGTGTCTCTCTGTCTGTGTGTCTGTGTGTCTGTGTGTCTGTGTGTCTGTGTGTTGTGTGTGTCTGTGTGTTGTGTGCGCCTGTGTGTGTGTCTGTGTGTCTGTGTGTCTGTGTGTCTGTGTGTCTGTGTGTCTGTGTGTCTGTGTGTCTGTGTGTCTGTGTCCCAGGAGGTCCCAACAGGCGAAAGCGACGCGAGCGCAGCGGCATCAGCACCTCTTCCTCCTTTGACCCCCCGGATTCTGGCCGTCCAGGGGGAAGGCCGAGCTACCCTCGGCTGAGCGCAAGAGTGAGCCTAGGCAAAAGTTGACATGTGGTGCGCAGCTCCAGGGGGGGGGCGCGGCCGAATGGGCGGGGGAGGGGCAACCCCAAGCGCGCAAGCTGCTGCTATCGCAGCGCACTCACCAGCCGGGGAACCCCAAATGGGCCCGCACCAAAGGTCACTCTGGCAAGGTTCTGTGGCAACTCGCGGGAGCCTCCCATACCATCCTGCGCCTGCTGCGAATCGACGCCACGTCGGCGCCGAATCGGCGCGCTCGCATCGAGCGCCAGACGCCAGCCAACACGCGAATGCGCGCCGAAGATGGACCTCCGAGTGCATGCAGGGCCCCGAGGAGCTACCTCCGGAGCACAAAAGGGCCACTCTTACGCCTGGCGCTGGAAGGCCCGCGCGCAGCATCGACCTCCGACAGCCACGCCAGCCCTCCGCGGCGACCTCCCCGCCGAGGGCCCCTTAAGGGTGCGAGCTGCCCCCCTGCCGGAGCTCCCTCGGCGCACGACCTGGCCCCCAAAGTGGGGGACGGCCTGTGGCCTCATCAGGCCGGCGCGGCGCCACGTGGCACACACTGCCTGACTGACTGACTGACTGACTGACTGACTGCCTGACTGACTGACTGACTGACTGACTGACTGACTGACAGACTGACTGACTGACTGACTGACTGACAGACTGACTGACTGACTGACTGACTGATCCTCCTCCTCCTCCTCCTCCTCCTCCTCCTCCTCCTCCTCCTCCTCCTCCTCGGCCTCCTCCTCCACCTCCTCCTCCTCCTCCTCCTCCTCCTCTTCCGAAGCCATGCACACCTGTCCTGCCCTCGTCGCCCCCCTCGTCGCTCGGCTGGGTGACGAAGGGGGCGCATCAGGGAAAGGGTGAAAGAAGGTAGCACGATTAACAACGAGGTGGGGGAAGGGGGGGGGGCGCCTGAGGTGAAACGGCACGCGAGGAAGAGGAAGGAGGAACGGGAGGGCTCGAAGCTCGAATACAGCACACTACCTCATCCACCTCCCAACCGTACGCTCGCGGCGGCGGCCCCGCGGCACGCTGTGCCTTGCAAGCGGATAGCGCGTCGCTCCGTTCCGCGGGGCGAGATGCTCGGAAAGGCTCGGGACATGGACTCTCGGGGACTGCGACATGGAGAGCGCATCAGAGGCCCACGCCCACGAATTGCTACCTGGGGAAACCTCAAGGTACCAGCCCCGCTACTCCCTGGACCTCTCCCGAGGTGCGTTCTGACCAGAGCTTCGAAGCGAATCCAGCGGCGGTGGCGAGGGCCTCCCAGGCGGCCCACAGAGCGGAAAACGAGGGAGGGGTAGCGGTAGCGGTACCTTTTGCCCCCTCTGAGGCATGGATCCCAGGCATGCGACGTCCCGATGGTTTCAGTACGCGGCTCCCGAAGTCTCGACCCACTCCCCGGGACCGTAGCTTCATCCCGAGTTGTCGTTCTTCACGGCCCCGAGGCCAGGAAAGGGCCTCCAGGTGCCGAAAACGACCAAAAAGCTCTCGTCCCGACTACGACAACTGACTGTCGAATCAAATGGTCCACTCGCGTGCAAAAGCGCTACCATCACGTAAGAGTGACCCTGGGTAAGAGTGCGATTTGGTTCGCGGCTCAAGGGGGGAAAGGCGGGGTGGCCAGACCCGGGCGCGCAAGCCGCTGCTACCGCTTCGAGATCAGCGATCGGGGGACCCCACTGCGCCCGCACAAGAGGTCACTCCGACAAAAGGTCGCTCTCCCAGACATGCGACGTCCTGATTTTGTCAGGACGGCGCCCCTGGAAATCCCGACCCGTTCCCCGGGACCGGTTTTTCATCCTAAGTATTTGTTTGACTGTCTCAGGGCCCAACGAGGGCCTCTAGAGGCCGAAAACGGCGAAAAACCTCCGTCCTGATTTTTTCTACGACGTGATCATGTCGGGGCCTACGTCTAGTCGATACCCTCCCCGAGAGGGTGCATGGCCCGCCTCCGCGCTGGCGCTCGCCGCAGGCGGCAGCGAGGAGGCTCTGCCGCCGCCAGCGCCGCCGTGCTCCGCCGCGAGGGCGCGCTGCACCTCGTCCCTCACCTGCAGGCTGGCGGCGCGCACGAGGGGGAGGAGGAGGAGGAGGAGGAGGAGGAGGAGGAGGAGGAGGAGGAGGAG